GCCCGTCGTATCATGTTGATCGGGTACTATTGGCCGTCCCTCCAGCTAGACTGTGAAAAGTTAGCTCGGGAATGTGCAACGTGCCAACTGTTTGCCCGGATGCCTGGACGACCGGCAACCTTCTACCAGCCAGTCACGACTGCAATTCCCTTTGCTAAGTGGGGGGTAGACATCTTGGGCCCTTTCCCTCAGCTCTCCGGTCGGAGAAAATTTGTGATAGTCGCCATCGATTACTTCTCCAAGTGGATAGAAGCCGAACCCTTAGCCACGATCACTTCTCAGCAGTGTGCTCGGTTCCTTTGGCGCAATGTGATTTCCCGCTTTGGTGTGCCCGTGCATCTCATTAGCGACAACGGCCGCCAATTCGTAAGCCAATACTTCCAGAACTTCTTGGCCACGATCGGGACGACTCACGTCCGGTCGTCGGTGGCTTACCCGCAGGGAAACGGTCAAGTGGAGAATGCCAACCGGACGATTTTGGAAGGTCTGAAAAAGAAGTTACACTCGGCTGGTCGTAGTTGGGCCGATGAGTTGCCATATGTCTTGTGGACTTATCGGACGACCCGAGAGAAGCTACTTTGGAGACCCCTTTCGCCCTGGTTTATGGAGCAGAAGCCCGACTCCCGATCGAGGCTTGGATCCCGACCGATCGAGAGAGAACCTACAACGCGGAGGAAAATGAACATGCGATGGTCGTGGATCTCGACGGGGTCGAAGAAAGAAGAGAGCTAGCCGCTCGGCGTATGGCCGAGTACCAGAAGCGTGTCAAGAGTTCGAAGGATGTTCGGGTCAACCCTCGTTACTTTCAAGTTGGAGATTACGTTCTACGACGAAGGGAGGCCAGTCAACCTTTAGAGGGCGGAAAGCTAGCTCAAAACTGGGAAGGGCCGTACATCATCAGCGCGATCATACGGCCGGGTACATACCGACTGGAGACGACAACCGGTCGGGTAATCAAGGGGACTTGGAATTCCGAGCACCTCGTTATGTTTAGGCATTAGCCTATTTTTTGTAATCTTTGGACGAAGTGGGGGCTTGACCTGCGAGTTAGTCCCGGTCGTCGTTTGTAATTAAATTTTATGATTGTAAATATTTACTTAACCGCCTGCGAGCGGGAAGGTTTAATGTATATACGATCGGTGATTGCTAGACCGCTTGTATGCGGCAGCCCGGTCGGTTATTTTCTTTACCTCCAGTGCACGCGAATCAACTCACCTTCAAGTTACATCGACCGGGCGAATCTATCGACCGGTCAAATGCGCTCCACATCGGCGGACATTCGAGTCGCGCCACTGATCGGGGAAGCCAGGAGCTCTCAGCACAATTCCCCAATCCGTACAACTTCTTTCCACGATTGCTCCCACTCGTGCCTCGAGCGCACAATAGTGTGGGGGCTAGGATGAAGGAAGTATTTGTAGGTCCGTCGCTCGGGTATATCCTGACCGTGGAGGCTTACTTATTTTTCAAAATTCCGTCAAGGCCTGGAGATCGGGTAAACTCGATCTGGTTGGTCAGTTTCATGACGGAACCTCAGACGCATGACCGGACCATAAAGGCCTTAAGGTTGTCGAGTATTACCAGACCGGGCCAGATGGCCGTGGGGTCGGGAGTCTACGATGAGGTCAAGAGTCTACGGTTGGAGTGCGCGCGATTGGAAACGAAAATACAAAACAAAAATATAAAACGCAAGGTGCTTGGATCGAAACTAAAGATTTCATTAATCAAAAAATGCCCGGTACAAGTCGGGACCGGGCTCCCGATTGGTGTCACTTACAAAAGAAGCAGAATTAAAATTTATCCTACTTCTTCGAGGTCTCAGCCTCGCCTTTCTTCGGCAGACCCTCTCCGCTCGGGACGGCACCGGCTCCTCCTGCTTTGGTCCGGTCCTTCGGCTCAAAAGGTGCCGGCCCCGGGTCGGGCACATCGTCGGGGAGCGTGGTCAGGACCAATTGGAGATCATCCCCTTCAAGGGCTTGTTCCATGATCTTCTTGGTTTGGTCCCGCATCTTCCGTTGACCGGCCTTATACGCCCACCGGCCAAATGTCCACACCAGCTTCTCCCCGACCTTTGTTCCCCGGACGGATTGGAGAAAGCGAGCGCCCGATTCAGTATCTTGGAAGAGATGGTGAGCGAGCTTGTCCGGGTCGTTTTGACGAGCCTTGAGCTCGGCTGCCTCCCCGATCGCCTGCTGGGCGACCTGCTCGGAGAGGTCCCGTTCAGCTTTGACCTTCTTCAGCTGAGCCTCCAGGTCCCGGATCTCCTGTAGTCGCCGGTTGGCGACTTTCTTCAAGGCCTCAGCTTCGTTGGCCTGAAGGGCCCGTTGTTGAAGAAACTGGGCCGCTCGGGAGATCTGCATACGCGAACAATCAAGTTAGCCGAACGGCAATACTTCAAAAAATTCAAGAGAAGAAAATACGCTTACCTCAGCCAAGTCATGGCCGATTTTCTCGGCTACCTGGCTCGGGGTCAGCTTGGAGAGGTCCTCCTTGGCCGACCCGGCATTCCCGATCCGAGCGAGGATCGAGGATCCGCCTTTGTTGCCCCCGCCCGAGGGTGTCGGGCTGTGCTGTTCCCGGCGCCGTTTCAAGGCCCCGGTCTCTGAGGCGGTCTTTTCCGCCACCTTCTCTTTCTCCTTCCCGACCGCCACTCGGGTGACCAGGACCTCCGAGGCGTCCACCACGAAGCCTTCGGTCGTGGTGACGGTCGACGCCCCTACGGGTCGGGCAACCGGGATCTCTTTCTCCCCGGCCGGCTTAGCTTGGCCCTTCTTCTTGCCAAGAGAAATCTTGGCCACCGGGCGCAGAGGGACGTCCTCGTCTCCGAAACCGGCCATTTCTGCAGATAAAAATGAAGTTAGTTAGATCAAGATTAGGAATGGTCGGGTGTTAAGGGTCCGGGGTAGGGGTGGCCATAAGGCCTTTACCTTTCCTCTTGCCCCGGGCGGGCATCCGTGCGATCGTTACACCCGCCGGCTCGGGCTTATATTTCTTGGTCTGATCGTAGACCGGATCGGGAAGCCGGGCCGCTTCATAGCACTCGGGCGTCTTGAAGATTTGGTACTCGTAGATCTCGCCCGAGATTTTGGTGACGGCGTCTATAAGGGCCTGAGTCTCGATTGGGATGACTTGTCTTCAGAAACGCTGACTCCAGACCCTCTCGACCGGGAGGATCCACGGATCGTACTTCACTGAGAAGATCCGGTTTTTCCATCCCCGGTTGTTCCCGGGCAACCCTTCGATCGAGCATTTGTCCGCTCGGGATTGTATCATCAGAAATCCACCCCCATACGCAGCCGCCAGCACCTTCACTTGGTAGACGAAGTTGAAGAGCTCCATCGTGCAGGCTACGTCGTGCCGACTACAGATCTGGGGAAAGCACGCGATGATCCGATGCGCGTTCGGGCAAATCTGCCCGAGCATAACCTGGTAGTAGCCCAGGAATGCGGTAAGAAGGCTGGAAAAGGGGAACGTGATCGGGGCCATTAGCGAATCGTAATGCATCCCAATCCATTTCCCCTGGTGCCGCTCGATGATATTTCCGAGTTGCCTGCTGGTGTCGAACTCGACCCGACCAGCGAGAGTTGCCGCGATTTTGCTTGCTTCTCCCTTTGTCAGCAAGCTCCTCTGGCCTTCGACGCTCTCGCTGTTGAGGAATTCAAACCCGTCCCCGCTCGATGGCGCCGGCCCGGTCGGGTCTTCCTCATCCGCTTCGGCTTCGTTGGCCCGATCTCCGCCCTCAGGCTCGGCTCGAGGGTAATCCCCTATTACCCTTGTAGGCGTTTCCCTAACGCCTTCGTCCGGGAGGTTTCGTCCGCTCGTGGACGTTGCCTCGCTCCCCGACCCTCTGGAGCTCGACCCCGAGGTCCCTGACGAGCTTGATGACCCTGCTGGCTCGGAGGCTCGGTCGGGAGTGGGCTGTGGTCGTTGTTCGACCTCGGGGGAATAGGACATGATGTCTACCTCCTCGCTGCTGTGCTCGATTGTGTTGTCGTAGTCTGCGATCGAGGCGTTCTGGCTATCCGAATCCGACATGTTTTCTACCTAAAGGTCGGTCGGGGTTAGTACAGGGTCGGGAGGTTAGTTCAAAGTTAGTCCTATCCTACTCCTACGCAAGGCTAAAAGCAAAGTAAAATGCTAAAGGATCAAGAGCTTACCGATTGGTGGTACTTTGAAGAAACTTGAAGCTTGGTTTTGCTCGGCTGGTTCGCTGAACTGCTGCTCGGGACTCTCTGAGGGTACCGATTGCTTCAGTGGAATGAGGAAAGTTCAAATGAAGGCCTCAAGGGCCTATTTATAGGAGAGCATTTAGGCGGGAAACCAATCCACTTGCGTGACACGACCCGCACTGATTCTGAGGCCGGCAGTGGCCGACACGTGGCGAGGGAAGGAATGACAGCTGGTCGGTCGGTTTGTTGGCCGACGTTTGGGTTTCTTCATCCCGTCCCGTTTTTTCCCGGATGGTCAAAAAGGCCCGGGCTGGGGGGCTTTTGATAGGGAATATCCCGACCGACATAAGCCTTACCACGACCGACTTGCCTTTGTCTATGTCTTTTTGTCTTTGCAGGTAGCAGGTCGGGCTTTTTATGAAGAACCCGGTCGAGAAGCGACCGGGAATTGCCCGAGCGTTGGTGTCGACCACCGAGTGGTAGCCCTTTAGCGAGAGAGCTGACAAAGGACACGTGGCGGCTCTTCACGATGACAGACAGGGTACCCGGGAGGATGACACGTGGTGGCTACGTGGAGAGCATGCCGAGCGGCCGGATCCTTGTCCCCGGTGCAGCGGCTATAAATACCCACGGTAGCTACAGTGTAGAGGACTTTTGGACGATCGATAGGTTGTTACTAGAGAATCCCGACCGCAGTCAGTCGGCACTCAGAGCAACCAAGTAGATTGTACTTAGGGCCTTTACCATGATCAATAAAGTCTTTTACTTGCTTTAATTGGTCTCGGGTTTATTTTATATTGCTTGCGTAGAATTAGCAGTATCAGTATTAATGAATCAAAGCTGCAATGCAGTCTGGAGGGATATAATAGCTTGATCCTGATCAAATGCTAACGAAGCTAACGTATACGCATGCGCATTAAGCTGTCTAGAAATATGATTAAACATGACATTATTAAAAGACGAAATTAAACTCCTACATTGGTCTACTAGTACTCCAACATAGGACATTATGGTAGTTGATCTCTGCCTTATAGCATTCCTCAGTTGTAAACCGTCTGTTTGAAGGGATACTGTTGTTATATTTTTTTCCAATAGCCAGGACAGAGCTTCCTTACACGCCAAAGCCTCTGCCATAAACGGTGACAAGCAATTCGGTAATCTTTCATTTTTTTCCGCAAGGAAAGATCCCTCCGGAGACAATAGCACAATACCGTACGTAGCTTCCCCCGTGTCTTCCCGGTATCCCGCATCCACATAACACCGTTGGGTAACGCCCCTGCTGCCATCCGCCGTAGCTGCCGAGAGGGGTGCCGAGCCGCGGCGGGCCACCTGCCGGTAGGAATGCAGTGCCGCCGTGGCCTGCGTCCAAGCCGCCATAGGGCGCGGCAATGTGGCGTCCCATACAGCTGAATTTCTGCACCTCCATAAATGATAAAGCACTGCCACCACCGCACCGCTGCACTTTGGTCCTCTGTGAACATTGTAAGCACAATTGTTAACCACTCGGGGAATGAGTTGACAACAATATTTGTTATTGGTAATCCTGAAATATTCCAAACATGTCTAGAATAATCACAATGGATGAATGTATGCATAATATTCTCATGTGCTAGCCCACACATCTTGCATGTTGGATCCACTTCCACCCTCTTTATAATCAAGTTGTTAGTTGTTGGAAGAATATCACAAATTTCTCTCCATAAAAAAGTCTTCCATTTTGGGGGTATTTTCATTCCCCACATTTTAGTCCATTTCTCAAAATCCCCGGATGAGTGATCATAAGTACCCATAATGTTTCTGTAAGCATTTTTAACTGTGTAGATCCCATTGGGGTCATCAGGCCAATACCATGACTCCTCATAACCTGGACTGACAGGTATCCTCAGTATTCTACTCACATCCTCATCCTCAAATAAGTTTGATAAAATATGTGGATCCCAGGTAGCAGTTTGTTCATCTATTAAACCAACCACTTTAGCATGCCTGAGTTCTACAGGCATATCAGTCTGCACCAAAGGGCTAGGATTATCAGGTAACCATGGGTGTCCCCAGATTAGTGTCGTTTTACCATCCCCTATCCTCCTACGCACTCGTGCTACTACCATGTCATGAGCTGCCATAATACTTCTCCATGAGTGGCCTGGGCATCCTCCTATCTTGGCATCAATAAAAGTGGTATTCGGATAGTAGCTTGCCTTATAAACTTTTGCAACAAGTGTGTCTGGACTTGTGAGTAGGCGCCATGCCTGCTTTCCCAACATCGCTAAATTAAAATTCTTGAGATCTTTAAACCCCATTCGTCCATATTTCTTTGGGATACTCAACTTATCCCAAGCTTTCTAGTGTATTCTCTTTCCATACCAGTGCCCCACCAATATTTGTTCATTGTTCTCTAGATTGATAAACATACCGTGTCCGGAATCAAATAGACACTCATTGAAAAGGTAGGCATAGATTGTGCCACACTTTTCAATAGAATCTCCTTTCCTGCCTGAGTCAGAAACTTCTTGTTCCATGAATTAATTCTCTGCTTTATCTTATCCTCAATATATGAGAACACTGCCCTCTTGTTTCTCCCTATAAAAGATGGTAACCCTAGATATTTCCCAAAGTTGGGTGCCTGGTCTACCTGAAAGATGGTAACCCTAGATATTTCCCAAAGTTGGGTGCCCGGTCTACCTGTAAGCAAGTAGCCACCACTTCCCTATCCTCCGCACTGGTATTTCTGCTAAAACAGACACTAGACTTGTGGTAGTTTACCTTTTGTCCTGAGAGCTCCTCATATCGTCCCAGGCACTGTTTAATTATTCCTGCCTCTCTATCATCTGCTTTAAAAAACAATAAGCTATCATCCGCAAAAAATAGATGTGATATCTGTGGGGCTCCCCTAGCAACTCTGCAACCATGTATTAAGCCAGACATTTGCGCTCTTTGCAATAGCATAGATAATCCTTCAGCACATATGAGAAATAAATATGGAGACAAAGGATCCCCTGTCTTAATCCCCTGGTTGGTGTTACACCCCCACTATTAACACTATTAATCAGGATGTTATATTGGACAGTAGTAACACACTGCATTAATAAATTAATCCACCGATCATCAAAGCTCATTACCTCCAGCATCCTTCTCAGAAACCGTCATTCCATCCTATCATATGCCTTGGCCATATCCAACTTCAAAGCCGCCCACCCCTTCCTACCACACTGCTTTCTATTTAAGTAATGCCCCACCTCTGCAGCTATTAAAATATTATCAGTAATAAGTCTCCCAGGAATAAAAGCACTCTGGGCCTCTGAGATGAGGTTCCCCATAAGTGGTTTCATCCTATTGGCTATTACCTTCTCCATGATTCTGTATAGAACATTACTCAGTGCTATTGGCCTCATATCAGCTATTGTCTCAGGCACATCTTTCTTTGGAATTAAAATCACATTAGTATCATTCAATCCCTCAGGCAGCGAACCTGAGTTTAAGCAATTCACAATAAATTCAGACACATCTCCTCTTACAATATCCCAATATTCCTGGTAGAACCCCGGGTTCATACCATCCGGTCCTGGTGCTTTGTCAGGGAACATTGCAAATAAAGCACTCTTGACCTCCTCTAACTCAAACTGGCGAAGGAGCATAGCATTCTGGTCACTAGTCACACGGGGGGCAAAATTATCAAGCATGGGATCTTCACATTCAGTGTTTGATGATGTAAAAATAGCAGCATAATACTCCAAGACAACTTTCCTCATACTATCCCCCTCCACCCATGCACCCACATCATTTTTTAATCTAGGAATATAATTTTTCCTTTTTCGAGCAGAAGCGTACCTATGATAGAATTTGGTATTGCAGTCCGCACCACGCAGCCAATGCTGCTTCGCCCGCTGCCTCCAAAATACATCTTCCTGCATCTCCAGCTGTCCCAGCCTTTCCTCAATATCGCGAAACTCGGCCAATGCAACCGAATCTCGCCTGTGGCGCAGCTCATCTTGCTCTTTCCTCAACTACTTTATGCGGTCACCAAATTTATGCCAATGCTCCCCACCCCACCGCATTAGCCTTCCTCCACAATGCTGTTGACAATTCAACAACCCCTTATCCCTATTATCCTGCCAGGCAGCCTCCACCACCCCCCGACAACCATCATCATGAACCCATGCCATCTCAAAGCGAAATGGTTTCGGTCCCCCATGTCTGCGGCCCCGTGCAATATCAGTGTTCAAGAAGAGAGCAGAGTGATTAGATTTTCATGTTAGAATATTTTCAACCCACGCCTCAGTATGCATAGTTGTCCATTGTGTAGACACCAACACCTTATCCAGCCTTTCCTCCATCCACCTATCAGTCCCTTTCCCCTTCTCCCATGTAAACTGGTGACCTCGCATTGGCAACTGGACCAATCCACAATTGTAAACAGTGTCTCCAAAGCCTCTCAACAGACTATTCGGGTGAGGATTCCCCCCTCTCTTCTCGCGCTGATAAAACAAGTCATTAAAGTCCCACAGGGTCACCCAGGGCAGTGTAGACTTATCCCTTAAACCAGTCAATAATTGCCACGCCTCCCTGCGTCTATGCCTCTGTGGAAACCCATAGAAACATGTCATTCGCCATACTTTCTCCCTTATAGCTACCTCTATATCCACATATTTCTTCGAATAACTCAATAGCCTAGCCGTATTATTCTTTTTCCATAATAACGCTAAACCACCCCCCTTCTATCCGGATCCACATAGAACAGACCCTCAAATCCAATCTTAACTCGTAGTCTTTCTGCATGACTTCGATCTACTTTTGTTTTCATTAAGTAGACGAAATCGGGCTTCTTACGGGACACCATGTCCACCACCTCACGAACTGTCTGTGGATTGCCCAAGCCACGACAGTTCTAGCTTATCGTACTCATTGAGATGGGCGGGCCTGACCACCAGGACCCGCCATAAATCCGTTTTTTGAGAACTCAGAGATCACCACATCTCCTGCATCCATCCTTATATCGCCACCATCCACCCTATCTCCCCTCCTTCTCTTAGAGGCCGCTACCACCACTCCCTCACCCACCCTCTCTTCCCCAACCCGTACACCCCCTCCTCCCTCACCATCACCCAATGCCGTATCTCCCAACTTCCCCTCCCTCCTGACCACATTTTTCCCCTTCCCATCAAATGGTACCAACCATGGATCCCATATTTGTCTTAGTCCCCGGCTACCTCCCCCCGCCTTCAGGTCCGCCGTATATGGAAATTTATCTACAGTCAGTCCTGATTTCCTCGCTAGCTTACAAAACTTATAGGCATGCCCCAATAATCCACAATAAAAGCAAAAGTTATGTAAGCGTTCATATCGGAAATTTACCCAGCAGCTTGTCTTATCTCGCTTAATAAGTTTCATCCTTCGTTTTAACGGCTTATCCACCGGTATTGACACACGGACCCGGTGGAACGTCTTCCATGGTGCACCCAGATAGCGATCATCAACTTTTACACATGTACCAATAAAATTGGTCGCTTGCTCAAGAACCGCTTCCGATGTATATCCCAACGGTAAGTCATATAGTTGCACCCACATATCTACCGAGTTCAATTCAACCGCTGCCGGCCTTATACCCAGTTCCACTTGTTTACAAACCAGGGTGCTATTATCAAAAGACCACGGTCCTTCATCAAGGACCCTCTGCATATCCGTTTCATCATAAAATATGAACATAAACAACCCCGGTTGAATCTCTGTAGCCTGCATACCCCACACCGGTTGCCAAACTGAGGCCATCACATGCCGCATGTATTCCAATTTGACCACCTTTGTTGTCAAGAATCGGCCAACACACACCCACCGCCGTTCCTCCTCCTCCGCCACTACTCCGACGTCCTCCCCTACCGGCTCAAAACCGATCTCCTCTTCCTCCTCCAGTGCTATATCGCCCCATCGCTGCGTTAACCGTTCGATCACATCGTCTGCCCGTTCGAGCACCGGCAGTTCGTCGGCGATCTCATGCATCGCTGGGTCCATCTGTCTGCTCGTCTCCTTCTTCCTTCTGCAAGGATGTTACCGTCGGTAACTGTGTACAGCAGCTACGTTCGTCTGTGACTTGACGAAAAGAAAGCAAGGAATTTTCGAAAACCCTAGGAGAAACCCTAACAAGAAGGCAAAACCCTAGAGAGAATTTCTAGAGAGAGAATTTCTAAAAAAACAACTCTTTGTTTAGTGGCCAATTTAATTTAAACCGTATTCCATTTATTTTTGTGACAGTTATATATAATCAATCTCTCATATATTATATTGCATTTATATACTTTAAATTACCCATTTAAATAAACAAATTCAACATTTATTTACCTATGCATGAACATCTTCTATATAATATTGCATTGGTATACTTTGAAATACTTATTTAAAAAGAATCATTGGGCATTATCCCGTAGAAAAACTAGTTTATTATATAAACTTAATTAGATATTTAGATTTTACTTCTCTCATAATTTTTAACTTAGCCTTTTTTCTTTGCTCTTAGATTCATTTCAAATGATTCACCATTTCATCTACCCATCACATTCACGTAACTTTGCAATATGCTTTGAAATACTTATTTAAAAAGAATCATTGGGCATTATCCCGTAGAAAAACTAGTTTATTATATAAACTTAATTAAATATTTAGATTTTACTTCTCTCATAATTTTTAACTTAGCCTTTTTTCTTTGCTCTTAGATTCATTTCAAATGATTCACCATTTCATCTACCCATCACATTCACGTAACTTTGCAAAACCACAACGCGTCAGGTAGGGGTCGAACCTACGACTTTCTGCTTAGGAAACAGACGCTCTATCCACTGAGCTACAGACGCTTGTTGTTATTTTAATGCTGTAAACTATATATATTATATTGAGCTTATAGAGTGGAGTTCTCAACCATTTTCCCAGATCTCGTTTCTAAACTTCTTCATTTTCATGATAATAAAATCATACTGTGATAAAATTCTACGTGGACTTTCCAAAAATGAGAAAGAAAATCAGCAGGAAGAATATAAATATTTAGATAATGATAATTCTATACATGAGGCTCTCTTGGATTAAAACTTAAAAGGCACTGTTGAGCATATATATAAATATAAATGTGCAATTTAATTGAGATGAAGCACATGTTTCAATTTGCATGCTTCCATAATGTGATTGTGGAAACAAATGCATATGCAATTGGTACGTGGTTAATTGTTTGCAATAACCCACACCAGACTCTTCTTTTGGTTTAATTTTAAATGATATTAAAAAAATTATAAAATCATTTATTAATATGGATGTTGTT